TCTTGAATAGTTGCAGTTGATCTCGTCGGGTGGTAGCTACCTCTACAAGATCCTCTATTCAAGTAGTATTTCCCCACGTTAGCAGCATACGATGAAGATGATCAAGGCCCAATATGGCCTCAAGTCATCAGGCAAATGTTGGCATGATAGACTGTATGATGTGCTTCACGGATTTGGCTTCAAGCCCTCTAGGCTGAGCCAGATATCTGGATGCGTGATTGTGCGACACTATGAGTACATCGGTTGCTATGTTGACGACCTATTGATAGCTTCCAGCAACCTCAAGTCATCATCGATCTACTGCAGGCTCCACCACACAAGTTCAAACTCAAAGGAACTGGACCTGTCACCTTCCATCTGGGATGTGACTTTGAAAGGGATGGCGACGGAATCCTGTCCATGACACCAAGAAAGTACATTGAACGTGTCAGGCCCAGTATGTATCCTTGTTTGGGGAGAACCATCCACTAAGGTAACCAGTCCAGTGGAGAAGAACGACCACCCAGAGCTTGATACCTCTCCTCTCCTGGATGATGATGGGATCTCAAAATACCAGTCCCTGATTGGAGCATTGCAATGGGCAATTTCACTTGGGAGATTTGATATTGCAGTCTCTGTAATGTCAATGTCGTCCTTCAGGGTGGCACCCAGAGTGGGGCACCTGGAAAGACTCAAGAGGATCACTGGATTCTTGGTCAAGATGAACCAGGCAGGAATCAGGATCCGCACCAACGAGCCAGACTACTCTCAACTGGAATACCGAACCTACGACTGGACAAGGACGGTCTATGGGAGGCACAGGAGGAACTCCCAGTAGATGCCCCACAGCCAAAGGGCAAGCCGGTAGTATTGACGACCATGTGGATGCAAACCTATACCACGATTGGGTCAATGGCAAGGCAGTCACTGGTGTACTGCACTATGTGAACCAGACCCATTCGAATGGTACTGCAAGAAGCAAGCTACTGTGGAAGCAGCCACATACGGCTCTGAGTTCGTTGCTGCTAGGGTTGCCCCAACAGGCCATTGCAGCCAGAGTTACACTCAGGTATCTTGGTGTGGAGGTAAAGGGGCCAACATACATGTTTGGCGACAATGGGTCTGTGTGACAAGTTCCACCCAGCCCCATTCGCCCCTCAAGAAGAGACTCACGCCCTCTCCTACCAATTCGTCAGAGAAGCCATTGCCGCAGGACCATCTCGTTTCATCATCTACCAGGAGCAATCAACCCCGCAGACATCCTGACGAAACACTGGGGTTACTCCCAGATATGGCCCATTCTGAAGGCAGTTCTGTTCTGGCAAGGAGACACAGCTGATCTCCTAGACACCACCATGGACACATCACATGGTGGGGAGCGATGAGTGGAAATCCACGTGAATCCCATTGTGGTGCGAAGCAGCTGTGCTGTTTAGCCAGGTGGAAGAATCGCTGTGACATCTGTATACTCAACAGTAGGGTCAGCAGTGCAGCCATCGGCAATACAGAAATAGTTGAGGAACTCTATATACCCAGGATGATGCAGTTCTTCAGCCAAGACCAATATAGAAAGTTAGCTTGCCAGCACCAGCCAAATGAGATGCAAGAGAGCCAAAGCTGCATGGCTGAGTGCTGTCGAGGATTTTGTTGTTCAGTTGATTTTAGCATAGTTTAAAGAAGAAGAAGTAATGAAAGGATAGTTGACCAGATACAGCCTCAGTAGCACTAGTTTCCCCACAGTTGAAGCCTTCCTGTGTGGATTGTGCCAAGGCAAAGAGTGAGTTGTTCAATCATTGCTGTGGAGATTGAATAAGCAGTGGCAGCCAGCTTTGTGGCTGGCCCATTCCCACTGTCAGAGGAGTGAGGCTCCAAGCAGAGCTCCCCACTCCAGCCAGCTCTTTGTGCATCTACCCTGACTGGATCTCATCGTTGGCCACGCATTCCTGAAGATCATCGTAGTGGTTCCTCCTTGGATCTAGGGACGGCCGTGATTCCTGTACATAGATGGCATGTAGTTGGGCCAGAACGGTCCTATCACCAGCCCTCTCAACACTCCCATCGGTCACAGTACACACATTGTAAACTGATAGTCGCTTTCCATCTTTGCAGGATAGAACCGTCCTTGTCCAGCGGCCAAGGTAATCTGCTTCGGCTTCCAACACTCTGCCAACGGTGCGGCCCATCACCAGAGATAGAGTCCCTCCTGGCTTGTATTCTCTCAAGTGGATCTGTGGAGTGCTGCCAAAAGTGACCTTTGCAGGTGTTAACTCACTTGCTTTGACTTGATAGTCTTGTAGTAGGATCAACTTCTTGATATCAATCTCGAGGTGTTGATCTTCGAACTCGAGATGAGACTTTTGCTTTTCAGTGTTGTTTGTCTAGCTAAAAGGCTAGCACTGCAGCTTATTGAGGGGTAATTTGGTTTTTGGTTAAGCTGAAAAGCAAAAATGAGGATTTACTGGTGGTGCATAGCAATTCTTGTGATTGAATTGGATATAAGGACCCCCGCAACACTTTAGACCTAAAACTCCCTTGGTTCCTGCATTATGAATATGCATGCGAACCGGACTAGATGTTTAATACACGAGTCAATAATAATTTGAGGTATGAGAAATCTATCCTCCAACACGAGTCGTGCTTCCGTCGTTCGATTTGTCCTCTGCTTTCGAAATCCTTGATAGTGTCACCACTCCTGCAGTTCGAACCGTAGCACCTCTTCTGTTGCCGTTTGTTGTCTAGTTCCTCACCTCGTGGGAACTCACTCCTAGTTGTCGACTTATTCAATGAAGGTGATCCAATCCTTCTTCTCCATGCAACTGGCCAACTGTTGCAGTCACAATTCTCTCTTGCAGTCCAGTCCACTGCAGCACTGTGACGGATCTCTTGGTCCTGATCTTCTCAGCAGGTCCTCTTGACTGGGACAGGCTTCCTTATGCACCTTAGTTATACAACTCGTTGTGGCTCAGGCACTCCTGTAATCTTGATTCCTCTATGACTTCTTGATGAGCTCTTTCTCTGGCCCTACACAGCCCTCGAGGCTGAACTCTCCCTTCTTCTTTGCTCTCGATGCTATGGGAGCTCCTGATTCTGTTATCTGTATCAATGGCACCGGATACTTTGTATTTAAGCCAGCGGAGCTGTGTAACCTCGGCAGAAAAGTTTAAGTGTAGAAGCAGATGCCCTATAGCTAGCTAGCTAGAAGCAGATACTTGTAGTGCTTAGCTAGTGCTTAACTTGCGCTTAGCTAGCTAGAAGCAGATCCCCCCTAGCTAGAAGCAGATTCCCATAGCAAGCTAGAAGCAGATACCCCTAGCTAGCTAGAATACTAGTTATATAGCTTTCCCTAGCTTTAGAGTTTTTCATGGTAGGAGCAGATCCCCCTACTTGGATGCATGTAAATAGCTTTAGCTGGTTTAAAAGCATCATCCTAGCAACACTTCACTGACGTCATGCGTCTCCTCTACGGAAAACGCAAGTCAGATTCATACGCAAGACACTTCGCAAACGAATTCCAAAACTTCGCATCTCCTTCACCATTCTGACTCAACGGCGACATTCAAAGGAACAGCATCGAAATTAGCATCCTATGGCAAGGCAACCCCATCAGCACTGTCAAGACCTTCGGGACACGACACTGCAGCCTATGCAACAGGGAGCGACTCGAGATACTGAAACAATCCAGAGAATCGCCAGAAAAGCTAATCAACTCCTACAACGAAATATACAAAGCATGCCGACATAAACCTCGATTTCATAAGTACCACAATAGCCCAAGCACTGATGATTCCCAAGGGGATGAAAAAGTCAAACAACCGAAAAGTTACCACAGAGTAAAGCCTGTGTTTTAGCGATTCGGCAGTTTGTGAGTAAACTTCCTTAGTTCAGTCACTTTTTGCTAAAATCGTATGACCATCCTAGGATACTTAATTGCTGACTTATTTGTATTCTAACCCTACCCTTATACCTGCAGGGACCACCGTAGCAGGAAAAACAATTAAAGGGGTTGAGGGCTCTGGCAGCAAGACTGCCAAGGTAAATGTTGGACTACAACAGTAAAGACAAGGTCTGCGATAAGGCTTCTTACGTGAGTTTTTAAAATACAAAGTATGAGAGGAGTTATAAAGACTGCCTCCAGCTAATAATATTATTAATAATAATAAAGGAACCAGCGTAGCTAGTCCCCGCCCAACATCTATCGGTGCCCAGAATGTACATAGTCGCAGCAGGATCGGTAGGTAGTGTTGATATCAGATCGGTATTGAAACCAAGTTTCCCGGTGGGTGAAGTATTTTCGTTGCACAAAATGCTAAAGGAAGTCTTCCATTCCGTAGGTGGCTAGAACAGAGTGAACCCTGTTGGGCGTGATTGGTGGTGAGGTGGGACAAGTCTACATTAAGGTCTCCGAGGAGAATGGGTTACTATTGGGGAATCGTTCGAAAGCTTCAATCAAAGAGGGCACATCGTCCAAATGTGACGGTGGGAGGTAGGCTCCAATGAGTGGAGTATATTGGGATCCAGATACGAGGATGCAGGAAAGAACATTAGGGCCATGCCAGCGGGTAGATTCCACATGCCAGTTTTTGGGGGCAGGATCAGCTTGGACAAATAGAGCAAGGCCACCTTGGTTTTGTTTGTGGTGCAGGTGCAGAAAATATCATAGCCACAAGGGTGCCTGGTGTGGACCTCATTGGGAATTTTAGCTTCAGTGGCTAGCCAGAGACCAACTTGTTGTTCTTCAAGGTTGCAAGTCTGCCTTTGTGCTTTGGATGCTTCTCGTCTTGGCACTTGGTACCAGTACACTTTCAACAACTATTTTATCCGCTCGCGACAGGACTCAAGTACATTTTTGCATATTATTATTGCTACAGGAGACTTGCCTTGTGGTGATTCCAGGCACCCAGTCTTCTCTTGAGATTATGAACACCATGTTGGGTGTGTACAGGTGCTTCAACAATGGGCACAGTAAACATGACCAATTCAGTTCATAGAGGCTGGGAGGTGGCATGGAGAGAGCAAACATGGACTAGGCTGACTTGTGACTATATTAATAGTTTTTTAATAATGTTAGTTAAGTGTGTTATGAAAATGTACATTCAAGGCAATCAGCACGGTGCCAAGGTCTTTGAAGGGCCTTTTCCCAGTTCAAGTTTCTAAACAGACCCAGCACCTTACTTCCCAACATTTTGGAAGACTAAGTCCTCACTGAAAAGTGCTTGATTCTTAGGATACCCATGCTTCCAAGATACATCATTTTCCGGCAGTTTAGCATCATTGCAGCTGCTATTGGGATCATCACAGCAATTTGAGCAGCACTCGCACTTGAAGTCAGTACTGCTGCAGTCACTTGTGAAGATATCAAGGTTGGGTGGCACATCTGCACAAATGGGGTTAGCGTTTCCCCCAATACTATTGTCATCCATCCTGACCATCTCTGTTCAATGCCGAAATGACAGTGCCAAAAAATGAGATTGCGAGAATCAGAGGAACGATGACCCAACAGCCAGATACCTTAACTTACTCAATTGATGAAGGTGTCTCAGAGTTTCTGGAATGGTGCCATTCAATCGGTTCTGATTCAAAAGCAAGTATTCCATTCGCTTCAAATGGCCGAGAGTCTCAGGAATCTCACCTGACAGGTAGTTGTTGTCCAGACCCAACAACTGCAGACTTTTCATTTCACGCCCAATCCAGTCTGGAATCTCACCAACACGGTTAGTACCCTTCAAGGACAGTTCCATCATGCCAGTCAAGTTGTGCCACTGTGGGATGGGACCTTCATCCCATTCATTGTTTGCAAGATAAAGGTATTGCAAGTCTTCCATGTCAGAGATGCTTCGAGGCAGAGGGCCAGTAATTTCATTGTTGGACACATCCAGGCGTGTGAGAGATCTGAGGTTTGCGATTGAGTTGTGCAGCCTTCCAGAAAATCCATTGTTATGGAGGAGAAGGTATTGCAAAGGATGATCGTCACGTTCCACGCTGGGGATTTCACCTTCTAGGTCATTATCATGAAGATCAAGAATCTCGTAGTTGAACATGTGGTGAGGGAGGTTTCCAGTGAACTGGTTGGAGCTAAGGTCAAGCTCTCGAAGGTTCTGAATGTTTCGAAGGAAGGAACCATCAATAGATCCATGGAACTTGTTGTTTCCCAAGAAGAGACGAGTAAGCGATGGGATCTGGTTGAGAACATTGATATCTCCTTCAAGCGTATTTTCTTCGAGAGAGAGCTCCGACAGACTAGTCATCTTGATGAGAGCATCTGGGATGGCTCCTACAAATTTATTGCCACCAAGCGCCATAAACTTCATGTTGGTGAGTTCACCTAGCCAATCTGGAATGCTTCCACTGAGAGCATTCTGCTCGAGGGCCATGAACTTGAGGTCGGTCAAGTACATCATTTGCAGAGGGAGCTGTCCGATGAGGTTATTGTTGAACAAGGACAAGTGGGACATGGCAAGAAGCAGTCCAAGCTCTCCTGGGATGGTTCCCTCTAGGCCATTGCCAGCTACAGCGTACGAAAGTAAACAAAAGGAAAGCGTGATAATACGGTCAGATGAGACATGTGATTTTGATGCGAGAGCATGCTGTGACGGCTGCTGTGACACTTACGCATGAACAAATAATCGACTTCCTTGTCATCATTACACTTGACACCCAACTCGAATTCATCATCACTGTCTTCAGAAGAGTACTTGTAGTTCCAGTCGCATGCATTTTGTCCAGACAAGAATTGGTAGTTGAAGATCCATTTGTCCTCTCCACCCCAGGCAAAGAAAAGCACAGCCAGTGCGTACCGCTGTACAAATTCGTAGGCATCTTCATAGCTGTTGGACCCAGGCAGCGGCATCTTCAATTCATCTTCATCGGCGATCCATTTGGCAGCCCGCTTTTGAGGGCTATCACGCTCAGTGAGAGCAGTACGGTCGGCAAAGTTATCACTCAAAAAGTTGACAACATCGTTCTCTCGCGAGTTACCCCTCGCGCTCTTGTTGTTTTGCGAAATAGCCACTCCCATAACGATAATGACAATGGTCAGGCAGGCAAGCATTCCCCCAAGCATGTACATTTGCTTGAGAGACAGCATCGACTTTTTGCGTTCCCTGTTCTTTTCATCGTCGATAAAGTTTTGAAGGTTCTTGACTTCTTCGGCGGTCGGCAAGGAACCTTCTCCTTCCACATCAATGGTAAACTGACGATCGTCGTACGACATGGTGGCTAAGGCAATCTTGTCTTTTCTCTCTGATTTGCAGGAAGGACGCAACGTAGGGTTGTGAGGATGATTACAGGGAAGTTGAGCTGATGAGAGTAAGAGTGAGGGGTGTGGTCGGGAAATGAAAAAAGTGGCGGCTGCGGTTGGGTCCCTCGAGGCCAAAATTTTTGAAGCCGACCAGCATTCGTCCACGCGTTTCTCAACAAAAAGAAGAGCCAATGCTATAACTGATGTATCAATCGTGTGTCTGAACAGACGAAAAATCAATCAAATCACACCGACTATCTGAGGGAAAGAGGAGAGAGACTGATCCGAGTGCTGGTAACTGTAACCCCCTAATAACTACCGGTACGTTTGCTGGGAAGGTAGTGTTTTTCGTTCGCAGCAGAGGCAGGTTTTCGTCAATGAAGCGGGCGTTTCGTCTTCCGTTTAGCCCAAATGAACAAGGCAAGCAACTGGCTAGCTATGCATAGCAGTGCCCAGCTACCGGTACCTGGTACTAGCTATTAACAGTACAAATAGTACAAGTACTGGTGGCGGTTTCAGGGTGAACATTGCACTCAGTCATTCAGCGTTTCGCTAGAGGTGAGGTTCCAACCAAGGAGCTTGTCAAGAGGCAGTTTCAGCTCTTGATGTACTAGTACGATCTTGGCCTCGTTTCTGCCCTAGCATCAAGCTAATGAATGCATGTCCCTGTTACAAATAGCACCTAGACTATTAAAATCTAATACCGGTACTGCCTTCTCCACAGGCCACCAAAACATTGCGGTCGGTACGACTGTACCGATACATCGTTTTGGTGTATGCAGAGTGAACGTTCAAACGGCGCTGCTGTTTTATAGAGGTTTCGTACCGTTTGCTTCAAAAGATCCAATGATTGGCTTTTTGCATGCCGAGCAATGCCGAGCTGGGGAGGGCCACATTTCTGCTTTCTTTCCGATTTCTGACTGTCTTGACGCTTGACGGATCCCACAGCCAGCAGCCAGGTCGCCACTTTTGGTCAGTGCATTGACGATCCCACCCAGTTGTCTCTTCTAAACGATGGCGAAAACAAGGAAGAAGTGGAGGCTCTTCAACAAGAAGCAGCAATCCTCTGGAGGTGCCGATGCACAACTGTTAGGCGACGATATTGTAGCCAAGGTGGCAGTAGACCGTGAAACCCAAGCGGGAAGATTGGTAGAAGAGGGCAGTGTTTCTCTTTCCAACGGTAGCACCAATATTGTATCCCCTGATCGCAAAAAGAGCAAGAAGCTGAGCAGATTTTTCCGCAAACCAAGCAAGAAGCCGCATGTCATTACCGACGATACCCAGCAAAATGAGACGTTCGAGACTATCTTGTCAGGTGGAAGTGAGGCTGACGAAACAACTCACGTGACCTCGAAAGACTCTAGCTTTGGCATATTTCCAGACTTGCAGGACGGAGAGCTCTCGCAGAATGATCAAAGTGGGACGCAGTTCGAAGACAACAGATTGGAAGTGACGAACGAGTTTGTGTTTGATGACGGCAACTTGGGAGTGGAGACTTCATTTGTGTCAAGAACCACACAAAGACGCCATGGAATTGACGCGGTTCCCGAACATACAATAGAAGAGAATCCCTTTTTCAGGTTTGAGGCGGTTCCTTTTGATGACATCCCCGCACCAAGTTCACTGCAGGTTAATGACAGAACTCGGGCAAAGCACGTTCAAGATGTGTTGCCCAGCCAAATCAAACGCGACAATTCCATTGCACAGTCATTTGATGAACCGTCTCCAGAACACAAGGAAGTACGAGGTTTCCTCAGTTCCGAACAAGAGGACAAACTTGGATTGCAGGAAACTACCGAGAACCCCCCTAGAGCTGCGGACAGCTCTTTCAACTTTGGTTTCGCATTTCCTTCTGCATTTGCCAGGGCAGATACTGGACCTTCGACTGTAACAGAATCTGCCAGACCACCCTCCGAAGCTGGCAGTGCCTTCAGTTTCGGCTTCAACCTACCAAATGTCTTTGGAAAGCAAGAATCTCAGTTGGCTGAACCATCATCTTCGGCCGTAGAAGTAGAATTGAGTTGCACGGAGGTCGACGGTATCACTGATTCCTCTTCCCGCCCTCCATGCCATGATAACGTTGGGTCCGACAGTCATGGAACATCCAAGGTCGAATTGCCTATTGTTTCCGCGCAGCACATTGAAACCGACACTCAAGCTTCAGACGGTAGATTTTCCGACGCCGATGAGTCGACTCAAGCGGAAGATGGAACGCAACGAGACAGCGCAGTGACAATTGGAAAAAACGACGAAACCCTGGAACCTTCCATCGAAGCAAAGTTTCGCTTGCCCTCTGCGGGGTTGGAAGTCGATTCGCCAGCGGACATGGCAAGTTTTACAGAAGGCAATCCTCCGAGTCTATCAACGTCCGCTTCATGGTCCAGGTATGGGTCCAAGTCAGATGTGATCGACGAAGAAACGTCTTCGGCCATATGTGAAGTGCCTGCTGAAGAGCAGAACACTCCAACGAATGCAGTGTCCACCAAGGCAGAAGATGCAACAGGGGAGGATTCCGTCAACATTGAGAACCGCAAAGGGTCCGACGCTGACTCCGAGACTTGCGTCGAGTCGACAGCAGACAGAGTGGCAACCCATCAAAGCAATCAGGAGGCGTCTGCTTCACACGAAGCCGAGGACGATCAATCCACCGCCAGCACGACAAACCACAATGCCGACGCTTCATTGTCTCGCCCACGAAGCTTTGATTCAGGGTATTCAAAGGCGTCTCCGTCTTCGTCTTCGTCTTCTTCGTCTTTGTCTGCTTCTTCTAGTTCCCAGAAGGCTAAAACGAAGCGCCCTTCTCCCTCACTGCAGAGTCCTTACGAAAAGATTTACGAACTATCGCTGCGCAGAGACGGCACGAATCACACAGAGCCACACGATGACCGACTGCTGGATAAAGGAAAGTGTAATAGCACTCTCGAAGACGACGGAAGCACAGATTCTAAGTCTTCGGATGACAACGACCGTCAAAGTGACTTAAAACTTACTCAAGTTATGGATCTAACGCCTGAAGCTATGGAGCTAACGCCGGATGAGAGATCGCAGTCAAATGCTTCCTCAGCACCGAAGGCCAGCAGTGAAGACGGAATTGAGTGCAGAGCTGAATTTGAGCGTTACGCCAAACCAGTACTTCTCATCGGAGGCATTAAGCGAAGAAGCGCGCGCTCTGGTAAGAAACAACATTTCGTCTGTTGTGAAAGTCGCATAATCAAGATCTTTGCTCGATCACTGAACCTCGAATCGTCCCATTGTTTTGCAACAGACAAAAGTGTTGCTTCCAACATTTTAGCTCCAGCTAAACAAAACTACCGAAAGCTGTGTTCAAGGCTGATCCAAAAGCGAATATCAGAAAGAAGGGGGAAGCTGAAATCCCCTACAAACGTACCCTCAAACGCGACCTTCTCAGTTGAGGATACTGACGATGTCGTTGGCGACAAACCTCAGGTTGCTGAAACAAAAGCTGAAGTCCCCCGAGATGAGGATAGTCCTGACTTCAATGTTGCTTCGGCAGCCGCGACCCCAGCAAAACAGAACTATCGAAAGCTGTGCAAAAAAGTGATCCAAGAGAAGATCTCGCTGCGGAGGGGGAAGTCTACGCAACCGGTACAGTCGCAACCACATCCAGATGGTTGCTCGGACGTTCAGGAAGAACCTGGAAGCACGGCAATAGAATCCCAAATCACGCGGTCCAGCTCGGTCTTTGATATATTACCAACATACACCTGCAGGGGTGCTCACGATGCAGGAGACGACAACAACGATTGCAGTACGCAAGGTGGACATTCAACAAGGTTCAACGAGGCCGACAACCAGCCAGACGAGAAAAGTCTCGAGGAGGAATTTTCGCTTCAGTCTGAACACAGTGACACCGAATCTGAGAAAGAAGAATCAAACGAAGAGGAATCCTCGATCTCTTTGAAACGCCGTCTTGGCAGATCCAAAGGCATGGGAGTGGAAGACGATTACGATTCTGAGCTTACTCCAGACGACAAAAGGTCTGATGGCAGAAGTAGGAGGAAAGCGCCTAGCCTTGCCTTTATTGCAGGTCTCAATATGCCAGCTTTGGATCGAATAGCGAACATGGATTGTTCCCTTTTTGGGAAGGGCAGATACGAGTTCCGCGAGTCAGATACCGACGACTACGAAGACGTGAGCTATTATCGCAGAGGCGGGGATGATGGGTCACTTTTGTCATCCTACGACGATTATGCCCACGAGTTTCGCGGGACGGCGAGATCACGGATAGAGGAAGAAGCAGAAGACTTGTTGGAGTGGGCAGACGAGAACGTCCTGTTTTGCAGCCCAAATCGCCACAGGTAGTAGGCTGAACGCAAGATGGGATACAGGTCGGCATGTTTAGATCAGATGAAACTATTAAAAGTAAATGTTAATTAATCGTATCACGTCACCCAAATATAGAGGGGCGACGGTCTCGATTGAGAGTGACACCGTGGGTCAAATTCAGGGCGCCCACAGCCACCTACAGCCCTCTTCATACGTCTGTCTATTCAAAGATACCATCAAAGAGGTACCGGTATCATACCAGTAGCCAGGAGGGGTCCGAAGTCACAGTTATCCTTGGTGAGACTTTGAGGTTCCGATCCGCACAAGGTCCATTTCTTTTTCCATATCATAGATCATTGCCACCATAGTCCAACAAAATAACTCTTTTAAGATTCCTCCAGTAGTATCTTATACTTGAGGTTTGAGTGTAGCTATCGATGCAAAAGACGACCCTGACCTCATCACGAAAGGAGCATTTCGCTATCGGTACATGTACATGTATCCAGTCCACTTGCGAAGACTCCTTGCGTCCTTGCGTGCCCAGTGCCCAGCAGCTACCGGTAAGTCTTAATTCGATGTAGCTAGCTAGCTAGTACCGGTAGCTGGAATGGAATCATTCGGTTCTTCGTGCTTTGTTCGTCGCCTCCGCCTGCTGCAGAGATACGATACTATCACCCGAGTTTTCGAACGTTGAAAAGAACTTATTGTGGTACACTGATGATATTATACACTGATGCGCTGATGACAAAGGCTGGGCAAGAAGCAGCCAAAGGTCTAATATGCATCAATATTAAACGATTCGATTCTCTCTAAATTATCACTATGAAGAACTCGATTCGATTCTGAATCTTTGAATCAAAAAGGTGTGATCAACAACAGGAACCGATGCATCCAGAGAAGCGTTCATTGTACCGGTAAGCACTTGAGGCTTCCACAAAAGTTTTTGTACATGTTTGCTGTTTGCGTCCTTCTTTTTCCTTCGCCAAAACTGCACCATTTCTCCGCGTTAGAAGCAACCGGGAGAGGAGCGGAAGAGGTACTCGTAGTACCTTTACATGAAACCGATTGGGAAAAAGGTGCTTCTGACATGCCAGCACTTGAAAGTTATTCAAAAAGACCGCGCTGTTTGATAGAGTACTCAACCTTCTTCAAAGGAGCGGCTGACATGGTGCTCGCGCGGAAACCAGAAGACTGGTAAGCTCCAGTGGATGCACTTCGGCCGGAAAATCCATAAACTTGAGGGGCCATCATGCTATCAAGCATGGGAATCACCGAATCGACTTCCTTCTTCATGATGCGGGCGATGTCCTTCTCAAAGTTTGGTAGGAAAGTCTTGGAGATGAGGTTGCGGAGCGCCATGGCTTGATTTTTGTTCTTGAAGGTGACAAAAACTTGGCTAAGAAGAAGAATGATGAAAATCTGGACAGAATCGAAAAGCAATGCTGGCCACCACATACTACTGTAGACGTCTACGTACTTTTTGTACCACGCACCACTTGCGACGTGGCTCTTGGCTTCCTCGATATCGGTACGGCCCCCGAAGATTCGAGTGACGGTCAGTCAAGTCACAGCCAGCAGAGCTTCTAAAGTTACTCAGTGCAGCTACATAGCCAGCTATATTTAGTTCTTTGGTAGTCCGATATTTTAATTAAAAGGCCCACGTATGGAGCAGGAGCTACAGAAGCTGCTGGAAGTCAGCTTGGAGCTCCAAAGATGTTCTACTGCAGTAGCCACTCGCTAGCCTGAGACTGGTCTCTGTCAGATGTGCCTAGACGCGAGGGAAGGGATCAGAAGCAGTCAAACTACTAGCTAGCCAGTAAGGAACGGCCCAGGAATAGTGAGCCCGAATCTCGGATGTTGGTCGGCAAGGGGAATTTGGGACGGTCCCTCAGTGCGAGTGGACTATTCGATGGGTTCGATTGAATCATTCATCGACGCAACTACTGTATCTGGCACATTTACCCGTACCGTACCTGGTACCGGGGTGCAGCTAGAAATCTGCTGCGCGTTGCGATCCCAAGGCGAGGAAAGGGAGCTGCCAACATCCTCTAGATGGACCACAACAACAGTTAAATTCTGTTGCATCAGTTAGGGTACCGGAGATGCTTCTGTGATGTATCCTGGTGCCGTCTAATTTATATAACTGTAAGAGATATTTACGTTGTTGCTCCAGCCGGGCCGTGAGGACGGATTTGAGCGAGTTTTAAAGTATCCGATGCTCTGTTTTGGGCCCCTTGCTGCTTATCTAATAGGATTATCTCGTTCCTTGGTTCCATCTCAATAACTTTGTGATCATTGTCAACCTCGACAACGCCATCAAAAGCACCCGAGCAATAAAACGTGACCAGTTCTACCTTCCTGGGGCTACTGGGCCGCCTTGCTTAGCGGCGATGAACTTTTTTTGGATGGGCTTGACGAGAACCTCCAAAGGTTCGATTTCGCGTTCTGGCAAGAGATTGAATTCAATGCAGAAGAACATGAAATGCTTGAAGCATGAATTAAGATGCGGTGCCATATCCAAGGCATCCAGAGTTCCAAAGAAACTGGAGTAGATAATTCCGTAGACTCGGAAAAGCCGCCTAAAGATTTGCCCACAAAGAGCTGCGAATTGGGGTGTCTGAAAGACCCGAAGGGATTCTGCTTCATCATCGTCGTCGGGGAATTTTGTATCGTCGTTCATTTGGTCAGCAATCCATCCCAAGACCTTGTCAATGTAGACGGGTGCTGATACCGAAACGGCTTCGCCGTCGCCATCGGACCACCGATACTCAACTCCGGATGGAAACCCTTCTCCCGGACGGAAGGAATTGAGATATGGATCCGTCGCCATCACAGCCCAAATTGTGCTCACATCATTGTAAAAGTCAATGGCATGTACAGCCACCCAAGCGGCGCAGGATTCCCCTGGAGGGAGAGTGACCTAAAAGAAGGAAAAAAATTCACGACAAAAAAGACCATTCCATTGAGAAAACGCAAATCGCAACAGAAGCCAACGAAATTCCACGGCGACACACGCCAACGTCATCTCCACCCCTCCATCATTCGGGGCGCCGGCTTGTGTGGCTTATTTTTCTCTTACCGCCTCGTTAATACTTCCACCAGCACCAAGAGTCCTCTTCGTGTAGTTATGAAGCCGATCTCGGAGAGTGCCGGTGCGATGCACCATGGGCTGAAACGTTCCCGTCGAGGCTGGGGGCATGGTGGTTCTTTCTTTGTTCTTAGTCCTGATGTCGCTGTTGCTGCTGCTTTGGTGTTGTAATGTTGTAATGCGGTTGTTGATGGTTCCTTTATTCAATACCAGAATGCAACGTATTCCCGTCCTACATGTAGTACCAGTACTAGTAGCTACCGGTAGTAGTGGTTGTTCCAATGGTTTCCAACACCTCCGCGAAAGTCGTGCCTGTCATGTTTGACTGGCGGCGTTTTGACCGTTGCGAGCCGTCCTCTTCCGATGATTGATCGAACCAATTCGAAAGTCATCGAATCGAATCTTTTTTTTTAATTTCAATTGTTCGATTTGTCATACAATTTTAATAATAAATAATTAATTAGTTAATAGTAATAGTCTACAGTCCAAGATACTTACGGAAGCTCTTACTGACCGTTCCTCAATCGTTTCATGGCTCTCACATCAGGATGGAGCTACTGTATCCGATAAGAGAGCACCAAAGAAGGATCAATCTTGGGGTTGTCCGTGGATGCATAAATGATAGCCTTGAGTGTGGGCAGTGGAAGGCATGATCTTGATACCGTATACCGTACCGGTACCTTTCGGAGTGACAGTTATGGGCGTGTTTATGATTTGCCAGGGGTAAGGGCTACCGGTCGTGCTACTAGTACTGATCAAAGAAGAAGAGACCAATGAATTCTAGATGATTTAATCGTGCCCATTACTCACATCACAGTTCGTATTTACTTTGGTCACGCACTTTTTCGGCTTTGGCCTCCTTATCCAGGACTTCAGAGTCGGCGTCCGGGTGAAAGTCAAAGTCGCTGGCGGCGTGGCCCTCCTTGTCTTTCAGATTGGGGTCAGCTCCAGCTTTGAGAAGTTGATCTATTAGCGTTTTGTGGTTTTCCAGAGCTTCGCTAATGACCGGTCCTGTACCACCATCGTCCACCTTCTCGTCCCCCGTCTTCTTTTCTGCTTTAGCTTCCGCAACAAATTGATTGTATCGCTCCCACAATGTTTCAACTTGATTCTTGCCATTGTAGGCAAACATCAAGGCTGTGTGGCCGTCCACGTTCTGAGCATTGACGTCCACCTTGGCAGCCAACAGATCCGACACAATGTTGTGATGCCCTCGTGCAGCGGCAGCCATCAAGGCAGTCGTTCCATCCTTGTCAACAGCATTGGCATTTACTTTTGCTGCTATGAGTTGCTTCACAACTTCAGGGTGCCCCTCAGAGCAAGCCGCGATCAAAGGTGTGATGCCGTCTTCGCTTGCTGCGTCCACATACTCTGGTTTCGAGTTCTTTTCCAGCAGCTTTTCTGTGATATTTGACAAACCACGGTGGGCCGCTTGAAGCAATGTCGTCACCTTTTTCTCGTCCGTATGCCCGAGGTTGGCCCCTTTTTCGACGAGCATCACCGCAAAATCATCGTTTTCAACCATAATCGCATCGAACAATAGATTGTGGGACTTGCCCTCATCATCAACATACTCCGTATTGGGATCTGCGCCAGCCTTCACAAGAGAGCTAGCCACCTCGCCATAGTTTCCTTTGACCGCCAACAAAAGTGCTGATCTCTTTTCATCGTCCAGGACTGTCACATCCGCTCCAGATTCTATCAGTAAATCCACCACAGCCTTGTGGCCACCTTGGGCTGCGACGTGCATTGCAGTCACTCCATCAACGTTGGGTTCGTCGTCGGTAACCTGGCCCTCCTCAACCATTTTTGCCAGCTTCTCGAGGTAATCTGGTGTGGCGCGGGCGATAGCGTTAACATCAGCACCAAGCTCAATCAGTTGTTTTGTGCAGTTGTAGTGCCCACCAGCAGCGGCAAACATCACCGAGCTTCCACCCGAGTACGAGAACATATTAATGTGTTCTTTGAGTTCGTCGTCAGACTTGACCTTCTTCAGAGATTCAAGGATTGCAGTCTGTCCATCGAGGCTCCCTTGTGAAGCTACAGCCATCAAAGGAGAGACACCGTCATTGTCGACAAAATCAAATTTAGCACCGCTTTCCAAAAGAAGCTTAATGGCGTCAGTGGCTCCTCCAGTGGACGCTTCAAGTAGCGCTGTTCCCCCGTGACTGTGACGGAAATCAATGTCGGCCTTTCCCTTCTCGATGAGCACCTTCATGGCATCGACCTTGTTTGAAGCAGCGGCGTACATGAGGGCTGTCACGCCGTTATCATCAACAGCACCAACATTGGCACCAGCCTCAATCAAGTATGCAATGGCATCAGCATGTCCATGGGCAGCAGCAATGGTAAGGGCGTTGTAGCCAGTGTTGGAGACTGAATCCAGGAATTGTGCGTCATCAACATGCTCTGCAAGAGCCTTAATGGCAGCCACGGTTCCGTTTTCTGCGGCGTTCATCAAGCAAGTGAGGCCATCTTTATCTGTTGCTGTGGGGTCGGCACCATTTTCCAACAAAAGCTTGATTGCTTCTGCATGTCCACCAACGCTTGCAGTCATGAGAGCCGTGATTCCATCAACGCGCGTATTTTTGGCCTCTGCTCCCTTTTTGATGAGTGTTTTGATCACGTCCGCGCGTCCTTCACTGGCAGCCAACCACAAGGCAGTGACTTCGGAACTGGCAGCTGCATCAACTTCGGCTCCATTATCGAGCAAGTACTCCACAATCTTGATATGCCCCATGATACTTGCTTCCATAAGAGCTGTGATACCGTCCTTGTCCTTTGCATTTACATCAATCTTCTCTTTTATCAAAAGCTTGCAAATGTCAAGGTGTCCCGACGAAGCTGCAGGAATGAGTGCTGTCAAGTCGTCCCAATCTCTAACATTGACATCAATTCCTTCCTTTAGCAATGCCTGGATAGCTTTTTTATCTCCATCACTGGCAGCTCCAATCATGCGAGCCCCGGGAGAGTTCATAGTTTTAATGTCGGCAGCAGAGGCGAATTGGAGTTGAAGGGGTGTGTATGGGTGATCCTGTGAATCGCAAGGTGCCGTGAATGCCTTTTTCCCTCCCTTTTCTCGGATGAGGCAAGTTTTGCCTTCACCCTCTGTAAGGACGTATCCAGTATCTGCATCTCCCAGAATGTTCCAGTTTTTGGCTCCACAATGGGAGCATTTGGCCAACTTGGCTTCCATGAGCCTTGAGATATCTCCCTCTTTGCAGGATTTTTTGGTAATGCAGGTCCCATCATCCTCTTGGTCAATGGTTCCATCAGCCGCTCGCTTGTGAATTTGATATTTTCCTTTAAGAATTCAAAAAGGCGACAGGAAGCAAGTGTTTGTTGGCCAAAAAGTTCTGATTTGTTCCTTCTGTGATCTTTGTAGTAGTCATTCGATAGAAACTCACCTGGTGCTCCAACAACGTAGAAAAGTGTATCAATGGAGCATCTCTTGAACTCCTCTCCCGTTAAGCAAAGTGAGTCTGTTGGATCTTGCAGGAAGAACGGCGGAGGTGACTTGGACTTGTCATCTTCGGAGGCTCTTGTCGCCGTGAGCGTGCTGCCTAGCAGCAGAAACAAAGATAGCAATCGCATCGTGGAAATTTGTCGTCGATTGGATTCCTTGTCTTTTAAAAAGATACCTGGGCAAATTAACGCGAAGGGGAAAGGATCCATTGATGAGAGTATGCTGGCAAGAGTCGCTTCGTTGATGCAGTGTACATCATACGATCATCCTCGGAAGCAACGAGAACACCGAAATTTCAAACAATGCTTTGTTTCCGTGTTTCTTTGAGTTTGCATCGCCATTGTCCTGCCTTGAACTCACCGTTGAGAGATAGATAACACCCTTTGAAATGCAAAAAAATATGATCTGCAAGCAACCAAGAACAGGAGAGATTGACTCTTTCCACACGTGTAACAAGGCTACTATGTATGTATGTTGCAAACAACAGCGAGCTACTGCGATCTGGATCTATCTGAATCCATCATCAGCATGGCTGGAGGAGCAAGAGCCAACCGTTGGAGTGGGGGTGTCAACTCAGCAGCGTGGGAACGTGCGTGGATTAAGCCAGCGGATTGAATTGGGATCCAGACGATGACGTCAAATTCCAGGTGTCAAAAATTGAATTCTGTCCTCTTTTGGCTCAACCCCCACCACCACATATATCACAAACGCAAAGATCTTCTCTCTTGTTTGTGTTCTATGAAAATATTTTATCTATTGAGTAATAATTTATATCTACCTCGACCATGGCGCTTTCAACCCCCAGGATTACTACATGTAGTTTTAGAAGACTGGCATGCTTCAGTTTTCTCGTTGCTGTCAGGACGACGACTGCATTCCTTCCCTCTTCGCCCCGATGTCCCAAGACTCCCACTCAGCTCCAAGAGTCCGAAACCAACAACCGATCCAAAAACAAGCCAATGCTCAACTTTATGGATAAACCCGTAGTGAACTCAGTGGGAGACAACCCAAGACCCGAAAGCGTCCCAATCCAGGATGATCCCAGTGCTGAGCTTGTTCGCGCCATTGCAAAGGCTGCGGATGGAAGAAAGGCGGAAAATATTGTCGCCCTTCGAGTGTCTCCTGTCAGCACCATGGCTTCCTTCCTCATTATACTGAGTGGAAACTCACGTCCTCAGAACCAAGCCATTGCTGCCGCCATTAGAAAGGATGTACAGGAACAATTCGAAATGCTACCCATGGGAAATGGAGTACCAGAAGGATCTGCAGAAAGTGGATGGATGCTACTGGATTATGGAGAAGTCATGGTGCATGTCATGACACCCAAGTCAAGGCTCTATTACAACATTGAGGGACAGTGGAGAGACAAAGGAGGCGTAGAAATGGACCTCTCAGATGTCATTTTGCCAAACGTTGTCGAGTCGTCTGCTGTCATGGAAGGGACCATGGACATTGAGGATGAACAAGATGACCCCTTCTGGTCCTAGAAAACAACAAATATGGATGGAAAGGAAAAGATTCACCTTTCAAAACAGTAAACAATCTACAGTGCAGCAGATGCTCTTGTACTTTGTTTTTGGATTTGGATTTGCAACATCATTCACTTCCTGGGCAAAAATAGAGTGTGGGAATGATTCAATCACACTCTTCTCGGATGTTGTATGAAAGCTCAGGGCTCTTATTCTTGTTGTGGAAACAGAGACTCAACTCCAGACACTGATAAGCCCATCATGAATGTAACAACGACTTTAATCATCCAATTTGACAGGTGCGATACCAAGGAAATAATGTAGCCCTCAGATTACCTACCGGTATCAGTTTTTGACCACTGCAACCGTTTCCGCTAGTCTTTCCATCGCCGGGGGGGGGGGGGGTCACAGTACTAAAGTGTTTTGCGAGAACGTTTAGAGTTTTATGCAGGTTTCTAGACATTATGTTGTAGTGGGAATGGTACTGATGAATTTATTTGATTACTATTCATTGGTATTAGCTAGCTTTGAAAAGATCATGATGTCCGAGCCTTGGTGCACGAAGATGAGCTCTTGGTTTGCAATTTGCAATGTGACCGTGGAGATCCGTGGACTGTCGTGCCACTCTTACTCGTACTTCGAGAAACGACGAGGATTGCGAGCATTCTGGGTTGTACGAGTAGAGGTGGTTTGCCAAGATGTGGTGCCTCGGTTGGTCTCGGGCTGATGATCCACATGAGCCGTGCCTGGGGCAATTCGGAAGTAATAGCTGCTGTAGCTCGATCCATCATCGAGCACATCGATCTTGCTGCTGCAATCGTCGTCGTCCTCGTCAATGGTCCATCCACATCAAGCGCGTATCACCCATGCGACTGTCAAACGAGGAGCACGCCAACGAATCGAGCTGCGATTCCTGTCTTCGTTGCTCTCGCAAGTCATCTCCTCTATCTTCGACAATCTCGAACATCAGGTCGTGTTGATCGAGATCAATTGCCGCGTACGCCCCAGGATGGGTCTGCCGTTGCTGTTGCTTCAGGTTCATGCCGTGTTGGAAACTTCTTGACTTTGCGACTTCAACTTCGGAAAGCAGACTAACGATGTCATCGTCGCCGTCGCTCGCGATGGATACCTCAATGATGGATGGGATTGGTGGCGACTTGGTGGGATTCCATGTATCCCAAAAGTTATCGTTATCGCCCACTTGCAATAGCTGTGCGAAATCGCCGCAACCACGAGCACCGGGACCACAGATATTCATGGTTATGGCTTCTAGCAAGATATTCATGGCTACGGTACCAGTACAACACCAGGATGAAGGGATGGGTAGCAAATGACGAAGCGTCGAGTAAAAGAGACGAGTTATAAAATAATGACCGGCTTGTATAGATGGCCGAAGCAAGGACGAGGACGAATGATATCGAGAACATGATGATCGTGTTCTTTAACACGGTCGTAAGGTCGCTCTTCATCGAGAATGTCATCGTGGATTCTCTTCGCTGATCAAAATCAAAAACCAAATGAACATCAAATGGAAGAGCAATTTGAAAACAGGCCCTCTTGGTACGACTGACTCGACACGTAGATCCACGCCAATCAAAGCACCTCCTCGGTTTGTTTCGAACCGTCGATCCTGTCTGAGAATATTATCGTCTACCACGCCCCCTACCCCTGCCTCTACCTCTGCCTGAATCTCTAGCGGAAAGCGACTTGGGTGCCACCGTCTTCTTGGGTGCATCGTCAACTAACAACGCATCAAGATTCAAACTTTCAGGAAGCAACCAAGATCTCATGGTAGACCCTCTCACCGACAGGGTTGCGTAGGAAACTGGATTTTTGCCTCGTCTGGTTTGAGAAAGAAGGGGCGGCAAAGAGCATCGTTAGACGACGAAATTAAGCAGCGGCTGCTGTCCGCATAAAGAACTCACACCAAATAATTGTTTCAAATGTGCCCAGCAAAGACACACCACTTCCATTGGATAGTGGCAGAATCGAATCTCGGCAGGTTCACGCAATACTTACACCGTTACCTTTGCTTTCTTCAAGTGGCAATTCATAGTCGCGTCCACTCCAACTACCGTTCCCTGCACCACAGTCCCATTCTTAAGCTCTATTGTTACCTGCTCTCGATTGAGCTTCTGCAAGAACTTTACAAGCTTCATGTCTCCTCTTCTTGTTATGCTACTTCTTCTCGTCTCTTGTCTCTTGTCTCTTGTCTGTTGTCGTTGTTTGCTTTGTTGATTGTCAATGACTGGCCTCTGTGGTGCTGCGGCTGAAAATATTATCCCTAACGCTATTATTACCAGCTTTCCAACTAACTTGCCTCCTCATTTTTTGGTGAGTTTCGGGTTCTCGATTTTTGTTGACCCTCCCATTCACTGCCAGAGCTGGGGGTTCTGTCGCAGCATCTGTCCTATTAACCATGGCCAGTCCTTCCACGAGCTTGTGCAACGAAGGGCCTTCATCGTTGGCCGACGATGTGTCCCCCGAGAGTAGAAAGATAGTGGTGAGTAATACTTTTGAAGAGAGGTTATTCAGGAATCGAATCGTCATCGATCAAGGCACCGTTATGTGCGCGGTGCCATACGTGAAATTGGACTGATTCAGCAGAGTCGAGACTAGTCCCAGAATTGTGGCGTTGGCAATAGCGTTGCCCCCATGGTGCACCAGCCACTTGCCCCGCTTCCGGTAGCTAACACATTTTCTGCCTCGCCACCTCGCTGATACGATACACGTACCGGTAGACCAATCCTCGCTCTGCTCGGGCCGAACGGTCTAGGCGAAGGAGCACCAGTGCAAGGGGTGACCCATTCAGCAATGCAAAGCCCCACGAGGAGGGCCTCAAGTCTCCAGAACCTGGAGCACGGTCGATGGATTTCAACTTGAAAGAGAAAGCGGCTTCAGCCAGGTTTAGTAACATGAATCCACGAGCTCAGATGGAAGATATGGGGAAGAGAGGAATGGAAGTTGGATGGGCATCTCCCGCTCCTATGATGAAAGCCACCGCGCCTAACCACACTAGTACGCTTGGTGCCAGCAACAATCGAAGCGGCAGTCCTGCTCATCAGAGGCACCCTGGCAACGCTTGCGGAGGAGGGAGCTGGAAAGGTTGAGAAAGGCGATAACCAGTGCAGTATGGGCACAGCATTCCCTTTCAAGGCAGGCGATGATTGAATTATATGTAACGCTACATAACAAGATCCCACGTGCGCTACAGTTGATTTACTGGATGAATCTTGGTGTTCTAGTACCGGTAAGTCTAGCTAGTAGCGAGCTGATGTAACGGTACTTTATCTGAATGGGCCCACGCAATCCACCAACAATGTTAGGACTTCTTTGACGGTCACTGATAGTCTGTACCGGTATCTTCCGGAGTTTGGATTGTTGCGTTACGTTTGTGGAGGCGATTCTCTGTCATTTCCTCCAGATCCTTTTTTGTTTGTTGGAACTGTGCATGCCCTGGTTCTTTGGCTCTGACACGGACGTTTCCCTTGAAATTAATTGACTGGGATCGACGAACAAGAGATTGTCTTTTTAACATCTTTAGACTACTGACGCAGCAATGGATTCTGTTGTTTGAACGGTTGCTCTAGCTGGTGCTGGCATGGTTCCATCAATCCATGACAGCTAGCTACGCCTGGAAAGCATCTGACAACATTATTTGCTGTAATCTATCTGCTGGACCCCCGGCTAACTAAGGTTGCTACATAACTAACAACCTTGTAGCAATACAGCGTAGAAGCATGGTGCAGCAATAGCAGGTTTTCCACATATCAAAAATGTCCTTCCCATTGGCCTTGGCAACCCTGATAATCTTAGCCCTGAAGAGCAAGATGGGATCATGCTGTCATTCTTCAAAAGAAAATTCGGTTTTTTTCAGCGTTCGTCTCTTGATTCCTTAGTTCCAGCTCGCTACACTCCGGTACAAGTACCTCATGTTGGATCCTTATGACGAATACATGCACAACGTATAGTTACATCAGCGACAGTGGCAACAGTACCGAACACACTCAGGTTCGGCTTTGCTCACTACACTCCGGTACAAGTACCTCGTATTGGATCCTTATGAGGAATACATGCACAACCGAAGATTGTCAATCCAGCCATTGTAGCTGGCTGCCCTATAGTTACATCGGCGACAGTGGCAACAGTACCAGTACCGAACATACAGGTCCGCTTTGCTCGCTACACTCCGGTAAGTACTCGTATTGGATCCTTATGACAATACATGCAAAACCGAAATTGAATCAGCCATTGTAGCAGTTACAGTAGAGTTACATCAGCGGACAGTGGCAACAGTACGAACACACTCAGTTCGCTTTGCTCGCTAAACTCCGGTACAAGTACCTTGTTGGATCCTTATGACGAATACATGCACAACCGAAGATTGTCAACCAGCCATTGTAGCCGGCTGCGTAAGTTACATCGCGACAGTGGCAACAGTACGAACACACTCAGGTTGGCTTTGCTCCTACACTCCGGTACGGTACTCGCATTGGATCCTTATGACGAATACATGCACAACCGAAGATTGTCAATCCAGCCATTGTAGTCGGCTACACACCGTATAGTTACATCGGCGACAGTGGCAACAGTACGGAACACATTCAGGTTCGGCTTTGCTCGCTACACTCCGGTACAGGTACCTCGCATTGGATCCTTATGACGAATATATACACAACCGAATATTGTCAATCCTATTGATCTATAAGGTGTCTATCTAATGAAAGGAGGGCAGTGGTCTATTGGTCGGTAATCGATGATCTATTATCTTACGAGTTATATCTATCTTTATCGTACGAAAGAAGCAAGTCGTTCGCTCGAGGACTTGTGCATACAGGAAAGTGGGTACCGACACATGAATCACCACCAAAACACTAGGAAATCACACTGGAGAGATGAATCCAGTAGTAGGATCCACTCTCTTGTGTGCGTGCGAGTGTTGTCGTGTAGCCTCCTCCTCCGGTTGACTGTTGCCATTCAATGACTCGACGACGTTCAGTGTGGTGATAGGGCTTGAGTTAACAGTCTCCTCCGTAGCATCTCCTCTTGCTGTTATCCGGATCGTTCGTTCGTTCGAAAAGGACGTGACAATGGGAATTCATTGGCAGTCAGCAGTGCAGCAGAGAAAACAACAAATAGATATGAGTTTTGTTTTCTGTGCTCAACTGCAGACGACCGGAGACTTACTCTTGCTTTTCAAATTGCACCAACTTGGTCGTCATGGGCCGAGAACTGACTGCCATCCCATGGTCCATAGGATTCAATGAGGGATGGCTTTCGCTTCTACACCGGAGACGACCGGCTTGAGTGAGGCTTGGATAACAGAGAACAGGTGCGATCGATCGATTCGAATAATTAAAACAACTCACCTGTTGACGGTCAAGCTCGGATTTATCTCCTGAATACCATAGAAATCCAATGAGGGAGAGAAGTCAGCGCTGTACCTTCAAGTAACACTCTTGATAATAGAGGCTTACCTCGAATCGATTGAGATTCGATCGATCGGCCGATTGGATAAAGCACTCACCATTATTGTTGTCGGCTAAGCTTGGATTTACCTCCTGTTTACCACACGAATTCAATGAGGGAGAGAAGTCAGTGCTGCGCCTTCAATAAAGGACTTTCGCTCCGGTCGGTTTATCCTTAACCTTAGTAACTTCACTCTTTCGAAAGGGAACTTGTTACTTAACGATACACATGACCGTTGATTCTGCAACTGAAGTGCGGCTACTCTATTTTACACAGTAAACGCCGGCAAATCGATTTTCGAGTGCAACTGAGGGGTAACCAAAAGGAGCGTAGTCTCATGAGACGTAATTCGGCTGTTTTTCAGCGTTCGTCTCCTGTTTCCTCAGTTTGCTCGCAATCCAGACATTGTAGCCAGCTACGGTACCGTAGGCAGAGAGTTACATCGATCCGTGACAGTGGCAACAGTACCGAACACACTCAGGTTCCGCTTTACTGGCTACACTCCGTTACCGGTACCTTGCATTGGATCCTTATGACGAATGCATGCACAACCGAACATTGTCAATCCAGCCGTTGTAGCCAGTTGCCGTAGAGTTACATCGATCCGTGACAGTGGCAACAGTACCAAACACACTCAGGTTCCGCTTTACTGGCTACACTC